AACTAGTATGATACGGCAAGATTCGTCCACCGTACGGGGTGGGTTGGACATGAAAGGAGGGCTTGCAATTCCGAGGTCTTGGAGTCCTCGTCCATAGAATACGCYAYATACRCAAARAAARGWGACGAGCCGAGGCCTCACTTGCAAGATAATAATCAAAATACGCTAAAACACTGTTTTGTATGTGCATATGATCATGAAACCATATTGTATTCACTAAGCTTTTTGCTTATACTATACATGTATATATCTCAGGTGTCATTTKTCAGTAGACGAGTGAATGAAGAAAGACGGGACTATGTTTTTGAATCATGCTTGATTATATTTTTTAATTAGCATTGATTATGTTAAAGTATTTTACGCTTCCGCAATTATGTAACGAATTATGTTAAACATATTATGTGTGTTTGGAATTTTAAGTTCGTATTTTTGTTTATAACATAAGTTATTAAGAATGACGTCACGACACTCGAAAGGAAAGAAATTATATATATATATATAAAATAAAAAAAATAAAAATTGGGGCGTGACATAAGAACATCGACATCTTTTTGACAATGTTTTTACATTGCTTATATCATGATATTAATTCATATGGATTTTTAAAGAATTTACAATTCTGTGTAGAGATGAGAACGCCCAAACGACTTCAGTTGCGTGCGACTTGGCAGTCATGCAAGTTATAGAAACTCGACTCGTCCAATTGTTTATGGCGAGGCTGTGTACTTGGTAGAAAGCCAATTGTGTTCGGTCGGTCATATGATAGTTGATTATGTTAAACTAGTTCCAATTGATTTCTCACTAAATCCAACCAACACGATAATACGATATACTTCAAATGGAAGACTAGATACAACAGGTCAATTCATACATATTCATAATGATTGATTGGTCCACTTCGTCTATTGATCACATGTACTCAGTAGAACCCAATTGAAGTGAAAAACGATATGTATATCCGTCTAAATATGTTGAATCGTTGTCTGATGGAGATTATCTAAACCTGCTGAAATCGATACAAGTATATGGATGAAGCAATTCGCCTGATGGAGATTATCTAAATATATTGAAATAGATAGACGGAAGGATATGCATGAAACAATCGACTACTAGAAGGATATGGATGAAACCAATAAATCTGAGGATTTGTTGGAAGTCGATAGATCATGGATGAGAAGGTATCTTTAATAGTCGATAGATCATGGATGAGAATTAAGAATTTGTAAACTTGAAAATTAAATAATTTTGCATTAGATATTAGTACATGATGCTTTGAAATTTGTTTTTAAGAGACTAGGTCAAATATATACTATATTATAAAATATTTGACTAAAACTCTTAAAAACAAATTTTTATGCATAAAATATTGTTTCTTAATGTATACTAGAAGGTACTCGCGCAATACAGCGAGATACATATTTATTTTAATGTTTCGTTTTATTTTTGTCTTTGTTGATATAATACAGTTTATGTAGTTTTGAGAAAGATAATGTTTTTACTTTTGAATGAAAATAAATTTGAAGACATCATAAAACTTTAAAAAATATATCAATATTAATATCAAATTAACTATTTAAAAGTTCTTGTTTTTTATATAATTTATTTAATTCATTTTTTGATTATAATTTAATTTAGGTCAAATAGTGAAGTACTTTATTTTTGGCTTAACAATAAATTTTCTATAAATATAATGATTCTGTTAGAACTCGATAACTATCTTAATTATATTTTATATTTTTTATATTTTAAAATGAGATGTTTATCCTCTATTTGATTATGTTTATCCACAGTTAGTTACACGAATTCAAAAATGGAGCTTTAATAAGTTGTACTTATGCATAATTTCATTGTAATCTTGAATTTTAAGTAATATGCATCAATATATAGTATTTCATGCATAAACAATGGTTTTAAGAGTTTTTGTCAAATGCTTTATAATATAGTATAATTACTTAAAATTCAAGATTACAAGTAAGATGAGCATGAATACATCTTATCAAAGCTTTATGTTTGATTTGTGTAACTAACAGCAGATAAATATAATCAAATACATGATAGACATCATTTTAAATATAAAAAATTTAAAATATAATTAAGATAATCATTAAGTTCTAACAAATTACTTAATTATTATCTTAAAAATATATATTTTATTAAACCAAAAATAAGTTAGTTCGTTTTTAAACTTCAATTAAATTATAACAAAAAATTGAATTAAAAAAATTATCATCTATTTTTTTAAAATTTTATATATTTTTAAATTAATATTTCATTTAAAAATAAATACATTTTCGTTTTCTCAAAATCATATAAAATCGTATTATAATATCGATAAAATCAAAATACAAAATAAAACGTTAAAATAAGATTATCTTGTTGCATAGATAATATTATTTGAAGTTAGAGGGTTCGATTTCATATAGGCACGGAAGTTTCTACGTCCGTCTAGACTATCCACAAGACCCAGAATGTTCTGGACCTTTCCTCCGTTTCTTCCATTGGATAGCGACCTTTCTGCTCTTACAAATAGACATGAAATAGCCATCACAATTCTATAAACAAATTCACTTCCATCATGATGAACGGTCCGTTTTTCAGAAGCTACTTAAACCAACAGCCGTCACGCTCTGCCCGATCCGTGCCAGTTCACCAAACTCAAGTCAGATCGTCGCCAAAGGTTATTTCTGTGCCAGTTCACTTCGTTTCATCTGAGCAACCGCCGACGACACTATCGATGTCGAAGCCTTCGGCAGCGATTAAGATTCAAAGACTGTTCAGAGGCTTTCTGGTGAGAAAGAGCGTGAAGAAGATCACATCAATTAGAAACGAGGTTAGTGAAATTGAAGGGAGAATTGACGACATCGAAGTTGCTGATTTGATTCGGAGAGATGCCAAAGAGCGATTGAGGGTGAATGAAACCCTCATGTCTTTGCTTTTCAAATTGGATTCGATCCGTGGTTTTGATTGTGGCGTTAGGGAGTTGAGGAAAGCGGTTACAAGGAAGGCGATTGCAATTCAGGAGAAGGTGGATTCAATTGCTAACCAAACCCTGGACTCCCCAAACGACGACATTAATCTTGACAATGTTTGTACAAGTACCTCAGAACAGGACACGAAAACATCTGGTTTTCCTGATAAGGTTGTTGACGGAGATGGAGATGGAGATGGTGATCTCATAAAGGAAGTCGCCGATGATTGCAATCTGATAAAGGCTGCAGATGGGCGTGGAATAGAGGATGGTAGGAATACCAGTCCCGCAAATGATTCAAGTGAAGATGGGAAAGAGGATCATACAGCTTCAATGGAAGTGCATGAAGATACTGGAGGAAATTGTAAAAACGGAAGCAGAGAACTCACAGTGAAGCTGATGGCTGATAATGAGAAGATAATGAAACTAATGATGCAGATCTCCGAGAGGAATGAGATGCAGACCCGAATGATTAACTCTTTAAGTCGAAGAGTAGAGCAGTTGGAGAAGGCATTAATGACTGAGAATCTAAGGAGGAAGAAGAAAACACGGGTTGCTTTGAAGAGGAGAGATGGTATCGACATTTGAGGTTGGTGGAAACGTTTCTTAAATTTGTGATGCATGGTGTCCAATCTCCTATAAGGTTTTCTGAATAATATCCGTGTTTGGTTTCAAGTGCTTGTTCTCATTCGTAGGAATCGTGCAATAGGTTAAGATTTGTAGTTGATCTTAATTTCTCTGTTTCAATTATTGGTGATGTAATAAAGCTTTATTTTTTATTGTATTCAAAGAACCATTTTTCCTTTTCAGATCATTCCTCGAAGAAGATTATAATTTGACACGTTTGGTTGGTTGCTTTCAGACTTTGCTTTTCATGGTTGTAAGATGGGTTTAAATCGCTTGATAGGTTGAAAATTTGCCTTCAAAAGCTATTCCTTTTATCTGTATTTCAATAAAATGACTAATGGTTCTAACAAATTAGTTGGAAGCATGTGTTTTATAGGAGTTTGCATGCCTTGCACTTGGTCCAAATATGTTATATTTGCTGAGTTTCTTGGATGATTTTGTGTCAAATTAATCAAGTTATAGCCTTGAGGGTAATCGGAGTTGGGTAGGTCAAGAGTGTCATGGTGTGTATATATCAATTGCATGGACTAATTCCTCATCTTGCACATGAAGGGAGTGCAACATTGAGGGTAATTAGCGTTGCTTTAGCGATGTTTGTTTGCATCTCCATGGAATCATTAATTTGAATCGTGTGTAAAGGCGAATCTTATTTGGTAAAGAAAAGCTAAAGCTATTTTGTATCTAGGGTGAATGCAAGTATTACTTTCATGATTTGAGTTTGTTTGCAATATGTTTGTGGGTATCATTAACAAGTCAATATATTAACGATTTTTATATATCTATAAGCTAATAGTGCTTTAAGGGAACTTTTTAGTTTGTTCACTATGATGTTGATATTCTTGCTTCTTGCATGTTACACAAGTTCGATTGGAAAATGTTTTTTAAAAGGAAATTGTGTTGCAAATTCGGGGCAAGCTCTTATCCATATATTTCTTTCTTTAATCTTGCTTTGACTATAGAATAACGAGTCCTCCGTCTTTCACGAAGAGCAATGGAAATTTGTCTTTCTCACAGTTCAAGGTGCCATTTGCTAAATAGTATTTAGTGGCAAACAATACCCACCCGACACATATATGCATATTGTTTTCCCATAACGTTTTTTTTTTTTTACCTTGCTTCAACTTCATAGCTTCTTTTCTTCGAAAGAGTTAATGTGTTGAATGTGAATAAGTAAGTCCTTTTGTTGCCCCAGTCCTTTTTAAGCCTCAGGGATCCATTTTCTTGAAGCAATGGAAGATGGAATTTGCAACTGCAGCCAGGCAAAAGGCTGGGCTCCCACTGGTGTTCGTTATAAGAAGGTTTATGATATTCTTGACTATCTTTACGTAGCTTCTAAAGAATGGGTCTGATATGTATATGTTTACGTGGGCCTTCTGCTAGTCTAGCCGTAACTCAAAGAAAAATGAGAAACCGAAGTCTGAACTACCTGTTTGTGCAAAAAGGTCACTCCACCCTTTTAAAGCGAAAAGGTCGAGTCTGAAGATGGTCTTGCTCACTGAAATACCATCATTGGATGAACCTTTGCATCACAATGTCAAACTAGAAAGTGGTCAAGTACCAGAACACAAATGTCATGGTAAGATTTCCCAAATTTGTAATACAGAGACATCATTTTGTACTATACTCTTCATTGGCTTATAATGTGGTTAAATTTAGGAAAATTGAAAGCCATAGCTCTTGTATAGTTTTATATGATGAATGTATAGACTATGTCATCATCGTCAGTTCATTTGTGGGGAATATCTATGTCTATAGGCATAAATGGAAGTTGTGTGTTTGGCCTACAAACCAAACTATTTGATGTATTTGTTGTTGGGTCTACTCCTAAAGGGTGTCTATGCTAGAGATCCAGGAATCATGATCCAAATCCAAGTTATACATCAATTTGGGTGGATTTAGAGAAATAGGTAAATTTATTTGTGAATGAGCATGACATCATAATGATTTGTATGTTATTTTCCATTTTTGTGATTTTTTCTTTTCAATGTAATAACATGTCTGGATATATATTTATGTCGTTTGAAATGTTTGATAAATTTTAATTGATAAAATAGACATTTATATGTCAAGGAACGAGAGTTAGGTTGTATGACCTTGTGTCGATCTTTGAAGCCATCAACTAATGCTAAAAGTATCTTTTTTCCTTCCTAACGAGTATAGCTAAGTCGTTTACAGGGCTATCACCCTAGCTAGGAGAAAGTCATTGTTATCGCTCTCTCCTTGAAACCCTCGTAAACCGTACTTAGGGGCCGTTTACCAAACACTTACCCAGTAAGCACCTACCGGTAAATTTAACACTATCATTTACTTATCGGATAAGATTTTTGTCCACCAAAACGGTATCGTACACAACAATTTTACCTATGGTAAGAGTCGTGGGTCGTTCTCTCTTACCGGGTAAGACTCTTGGTCTTTGTCTCGCTCTTACCGGGTAAAATGTTTGGTCCTTACCATATTCATCCGGTAAGGTAATGTAACTTTGTGTTCATTTACCCGAATAAGCGTTTGGTAAACAGCCCCTTAGTGTCAAGTATTTAGATGTAAGAAATTTTTTACAAACTATTTATTGACAAAGGGGATAAAGAGTTGATTACAAAATTGATTATTTCAATATAAAATCCGTATGACTATGGTTAAACAGATTATTGTAATTTTGATTTAGAATAACAAGACATCGACTAATGGTGAATCGGTGATCATTTGTGGGTTTGGGCTACACTTGAGTCGGATCTAACTCTTTTTGTGTATAATTAAGACATTACAACTATGGTCTAGGACGGACAAACAAATTCAGCATCAATGAATTTTGTACCTGTCAAAAATAATCAAATACCAAAAATAGACATAGAACACAAAAAGAAAATATGAGAGCAAGAGTTCTGATATGGTAATTATAGAAGCAACATGGCCACACAATATGACATAAATATTACCAAAGCCTTTGTGAAAATTTTATTGAAGTTTAAAATAAGAAAAGGTATACAATTTTAGAAAAATATAATTATCCAACATGAATAAAATGACAGTTTTATCTGTAACAATAGAGAGAGTGGTTGATTTTTCTATGTCAAAGTTAAAGTTGGAATGAGAAAGTACGCACTTGTTTTTGTAAAGTCGATATTTATTTTGAGATAAATTAAAATATAAATATAGACACTTATTTTGGGACGAATAAAGTATTTAATTAATCGTAATAATATAAACAACTAGGCCAAGTTTGCTTGAATTATGTTTGCTTTTGCCGATATCCGTATCTTAATCTTCACATTAAGCAAGTCCGCACTCTTCCATTTTCCGAAAATTAATTGTTCAAGCTTGCTCTTTAATGGGTCGGAAGAGCAAGGTATAAGGGTCGACCTATCCTTAAAACTAAAACACGCAAAGACCTTTTTAAATGTTTTAACGTTTATAATAAAAGAGTAAATTATAGTTTTGGTCCTATGGTTTGTAAATTGTAACAATTTTCGTCCCTGTAACTTTAAAATTACACATTGACCACACAAAAATGCTCGAATTTGGTCTCTCTTAATGATTGTTAAAATTTCCTATTAAATGAAGAATATTTTAGACTTTTTGCCACTGACATGTCATTTTTCTGTTAAGAAATAAATAATAAATTTATATATTTACATCAACTAATTATAATATATACACCATAAACTCCATCCCTTCTTATTCGACAACAATCATTTGTCCAGTGAACCCCTATAGGTTTCCTCCTCCATCTCTGTCGAACTAACACCCCCCCACCGCCACCGCCACCGCCACCGCCACCGCCACCGCATAAACAGATCACCAATTACCTCCCCACTTCCTTGTATGTCAACAAAGTCTCATGCCAACAAAGTCTCATGCAGTGTCTTTAATATAAGTATATGGTGCACCTTATCCCTCATGATCACTCCTCATCATTTCATCCCTAAACTTTGATTGATGTTGAAATTTTGTTTTATTTTGATTTTGCTTTCTTACTTTGAACTAGGGTTCATCGGCTCGGTTGTAGATTCATTTAGTCTTTTTATCCAAATTGTTCATTTTGATTTTGGATTGGAGGTTTTTAGATTTAGATTTTGTAAGTAAGTTTTGGAGACGATAACAAAACGATGATCATAGATTGATCAATAGGAGGGGTTTAACAAGAAGGTAAGAGAACTTATTGGGATATGTTAAGTGGGGCACATACCACGAGTTTATTGGATAATACTATAAGCGTACTCGCGCAATCCAGCGAGATACATCGTGATTTTAATATTTCATTTTATTCTTTATCTCAGCTGATTTTATAATATGGCCTTATGTGATTTTGAGAAAACGATGATGTTTT